CCCCCGGGCGGAGCGGGCGAGCGAGCGCGGCGGCCGCCTCCGGCTCCCGCCACCTCCGCGCCGGCGGGCTCCCCTGGGGCTGTGGCATCGCCCTGCCCTGCGGAGCCGCCGCCTCTAGCTCTTCCCCCGGGGAAGAAACCTGCGCTAGGGGACAGGCTGATCCCTGCCTCGTAACAGCCAGCTCATGGGCTTCATGCAGCACGAGGCTCCCCCCTGCTCGGGGCGACACTCTCTTTAAGAGGTTCCCTGCAGGTGACCCGAGTCTGGCAGAGTCCTGGGAGCCCCAAGCGCACAGCCTGCTGCGCTGTGCGTAGTCCCCAAGCAGGGCCTGGTTAACAGGGCTGGGGTGCAGAAGGGGTGCAGGGGTGCTTATTTTACATGAGTGACGGGGGCCACCTGAATCTGGAGGGGCACCCGCTGAGGGCGGCGGCCCTGTCAGCGGGGGCACCAGCCCTGCTGACAGCTTCAGTGTTGGCTGTCAGACCCCAGACCAGTCGCTTATGTTATTTTACATCACTTTTTTCACTCCATTTTAATAACTTAAGTATACAGTATTAAGTAGGGGCCCATGAGTTTGTTTGCCTCGGGCTCACTAAAGGGTTAACACGGCCCTGTCCCCGGGGACCAAGAAGACATTGATGTGGCAGTAAGAACTTCTTGCATGGCTCCTTCACTGGGCAGTGGTAACAACGGGAAATTGTTGCTGTAAACCGGCCCCAGAGGAAGGTGAGTTTCTCTTCCTATGAGATTGGGCCCAGTTCCCTCAGATACACAGGCAGGACTGCATTTCACCCTGAATCCAAAGTGTGTGATTATAATTCACTGGTTTGATTTGCAATGCCAAGCGCACTGTGTCCACCATGGGTTCTTAAATGAGCCCTGGAATAACATAAGGATTTTATTATTTCCACATGCTTAGTGCTTGGGACCTTCTGTGCCAAATAAACCTTAATTGCGGTGCTTAATTACAGGACAGTCAGTGGTGTCATTACCTCCCTAGCCCATTTCAACACTAACTCACTGGGTTGTTTCCCTGTCCGCTCAGGTATTTCCATACTGTTGTAAATTCCAGTCACGGTATAAAAACCTGAAGTGCCAACAGCCTGGAAAAAAAAGAAAGCTATGACCTTTGGAGTCTCTTGAGGAACTCTCCTTATAGTACAAGGGTGACTTTGAAATGCATTGGTGCAGCTCCCTATAAATCTATTGTAGATGCACTCTTTGGGAAGGTGGGAAACATGCCTAAGATCTACTAACTAAGGGCTAGATTCTGTTCCCCTTCTCTTGTGCTAGAAAGAAGGTGTATGTTGGTGGAGGTACAGGTAAGGTGCTTTTGCCTTTGTTTGGTTTAACCAGTTCTGATCACAGTGTAGAAGTGGCAAAGGAATCTTTCTGGATAATTTGGAGCACAAACATAAAGGGGAAAAGTTGTGTTACAGAAGTTAGGCTTGGGGAAAGAGACTTGAGCTGCCTGGACAGGGCTAAATCAAGGGCCTATTTCTAGCTGCAGTTTGCCAGTGAGTTAAACTTTATTGCAAGGTCTGCCCTAGTTCTGATACAGGCCCAGCCACAGGAGTTGCTTCACAGCACAAGTGTATTGTCAGTTCCCCTTTACTATAGGACCTTGGGACTAATGTAGTTCAAATACAGGTGTGTTCCAATTCAGCAAAGCCCACAGCCAGTGTAGTCTCAGAGTAGCTGAGAAGCCCCAGGAGAAAGTAGACATGATTTGCTGTGATCTCTGATGCAGACACTCCACAAAGAAGAGCAGACTATGTTCCCAGAGCCTGCCCTTTGAGGGGACAAGTATTCCCTGTAGCTTAAGCTCTCTAGCCTGGTACAGGGAGAGGTAAAGGATGCCACCCTCTGTCAGATTTATGGACAAATGGGGTTTTTATTTTCATCCAGAAAGGACATGGAACTAGAAGGTCTTGACAACACAGTGGATGGATCTATCCTTGAGCTCTTGGTAACAGAGATGGCGTAATGCTAATACAATATCAGGAAGCTTGTCAAAATGTCAACTGCCCCTCTTCACCATCGGGGGCATGCAGGAATATTCAGGTGGAGCATCCAGTGAAATGCAGGTGGAATAACTGATGCACAGTATGCCTCCTCCTAGAGGATGCAGTAATGAGATGAATGACTTGTATCCCCTCTGCAAGCATCTACTTGCCTAAGCTTGGGAACACATCCCCAGGAAGTGACACTTAGAGTTCAGGTCAGTTTGTAACACCTTAAAAGTTTATGTTAAAAAAAAAAAAAGTTTGTGATAAAGAGTGAGGTTTTCTAGACTTCCCAGGATCACAAACCTCAATGAGCAGGTGCTTAAACAAAGGTATTATGTGATGTCAGCTGAAATAACTAAACATGTTAGGAAAATCTTCTGTGTTCTCTTAAAAATAAACAAATCTTTTAGATTAACTTTTACAAAAGGAGCCTGTTCTATGTATAGTGGGTAGAGCAAGGTACCTGGAATCTAACTGTGATGAATATGCAGTTTTTAGTCTTCAGACACAGCAATGCTGAGATCTAGGAATAGGTGTGGCAAACAGCAGAAAGTGAAAGCTCTTATTTGGGCACTGGTTCTGTATCTTAGCAAAGAATACCATGAAAACTTTTCTACTGCTTTTATGTCCAAATCCAAATCTGCACTGAACTACTTTTTTTTTTCTAGCTAAAAAAAATTTAGTGAGGTTTTTTTTTTCTGCTTAATGTTGAAAGCTCTCTATTGTCTTATGTCTCTTGGCTCTACCAGCAAGATGCAAAGCTGCTCACTGAGAACTTCATCCCTATTAATGTAAATTTCCACAGTACTCAGAGATGTGCTGTGTGCTTACAACACTACCCATAATCTGATGGTCAGTAAGGCAAATTTAGGTGCACTGCAATAAAATATTAGGATTCTCTCCACTGCCCACCTAGGGGCAAATGTAAGGGCATGTGAATGGCAATTAACACACTGTAGTATAAACTGTTTCTGCAGGGAAGAAGTCAGCGTTCAAAACGTTGACATGATCAACTACAGGGTTACTCTTGTGTACCACAGGAGCACACATAAATAGTAGACTTACACATGAACTTCTGGAACCTGCACACAGCATTAATGTGCCTCCCTTTAATACCGTGGCACCGATGTATGCTATATGGGGATGTTAATGTGCTGACCCTGGTTGGCAGTCTTCCTCCATGCTGAATTATGATGATCTTTCTTTACACTGAAAGAAAACTCTGCCAAGCTGAAACTGACCAAACTGCATCTAAGAAACTACTTTGCTAAACAAAAGGTCACCCTATATTTTCATTTTGGTAAGGGCTTTTTCTGTGTGGGTTCTTTTTTTTTTTTTCTTTTTTTTTAGTTTTTTTCCTTGCCCTGTCTAGAAATATAAAAGTTCCTAAAGTTGCAAGGGGGTTAATTACATAAATGCTAGTTGCCATTGTACACTGTCCTTGTATTGCAGATACTAAGGAAATTCACTGGCATTCAGCCCTTTGTCCAAGATTCTCTTTTTTTTTTTTTTCTCCCTGTTGTTGTTCAACTGTCCCTTTACAGCATTAACATTCCAGTAAGGCAGGCTCCACTGTGACAATGTTAACCTTCCTGTAAAGCAGGTACCAGTGTTGCATTAATATTCAGCAATGAAGCAATACATATACTATGAACATTCCAGCGAGGCAATAATATCCACCATCTCATTACACTGCAAGGTACAAGATAACAGTATTTGCTTAATGATCAAGGTATTTGTATTAATGCAAACATAACCCCACCTTTCCCAGATCTTGCACTCGGTGCACACACAAACACAATAGCAATGAGAGGTGCATACGTATGGTGAAATTATGACACCAACATGTTACAGGAAAGGCTCATCCAGTCAATGCAAATTCCTTATCCACATTCTGGATATCCTTTTCATACGTAATTCACATCACCTGGAAACTACATACATGCAGGAAAAGTGCAGAATAAGCAGCAAAGATCCATGGTGCAGACCAGGGAGGGAAACTTTCTTCTAATGGCAGAAGATACTGTGGGGGTATATAAATTCAATCCAAAAGCAAATGTGGCAGGCCGTAGACTTATTTTTTTTTATCTTTTCCACATGTCTGCAGTTAACTAAAGAAGCATATCTGTTATGTTGCAGGGTAGAATGTGTCAAATCTTGGTCTTTGCTCCAAATGAGGTGACTTTACTTCATCTCTGTCTGTGTATTTGAACGTTTCATTAATCTCTGTACTAGGTGAAAGGCTAGTTGGAATGGGTATATTGTTGGGATACTTAGTGCATTATTCAGGACTACAGAAATTAGCAGCTTGCTCTTTTAAATTTTTCATATGCATGTACAGGCTAGACTCTGCTTTCACTTCCTCTAGTGTAAATCCAGCGTGAGTCTGGTGTAAAGGGGACCAGAATAATACCTATTAATTTTCCTGGCTCTTCACAGACTGCATCCTATTAATCCGCACTTTAAAAAGGTCTTGGTCTATTCCTTCTTTAGAGACACCCCAAAACAGAGTCTGTAGAACAGGTGACACTGTTCTCATTAATTTGCAGAACTAACAGGCATGCAAGCAAGAAGAAAATTGGGCCCTGCAGAAAGGGAGGATATCTTTGAAGTTACTGGGCTCAACACTACCACGTTACAGTAGTTTGAGCAGAATTTCCCCCAAAAAGTCACTACAGACTTCAGGGGAAATGAAGTTAATCCAACATCGAGCACTTCTGAAGGTTCCATCCAATCAGGAAGCCAAAAGTTAACACAAGTTTTCTGTGAACAGGCGCTGCCATACTCTTATCCAACCAGGTGTTAATATGAAGAATTAACCTCTTGTCCCAAGTAAAACTCCAAGGAAAGGGGATGAGATTAACATAACTTTATTGTAATAAATGTGGCTAGCCTGACTGACAGCTGATGACCTAGGGCTTGTTAGCTTGTTTGTTTTTAATGGAAATAGATGTTATTTAGAAATTGGCTTTCCAGAAGTGCTCCACATAAGCCTGACTTGGCTTTGCTGAGATGCATGGTACTTTCATTGAAGTCAATGCCACCCTTCAGCACTTTGAAAAATCTCTTCCTGAGAGTAAATTCACTCAAGTTCCTTTGAGTCATACTGCAGTGAAAAGTTGAACAACAATGGCAAGATTGGACTGTCACTGACTTGCACTTTTTATGTGATTCTTAAAAAAAAAAGGGGGGGAGGGCTTGTTTTAGTGGGGTTTTTTCCCTCCCCCTCCTCCAGACATCATGATCTTTACTATGTTTTTCCTTAGAAAATAGGACTCTTTCTTCATTCTCCACTTACACTAGCTATACGTGATAAAGATGTGAAGTGAATAACCAATCTGTTTTCTTGTTTTTTAATTAAAATGTTAGTTCTCAAAATGGGAAAAACTTACCAAGAGCTATGACTTTAATATGAGCCTTAGATTAATAATCGGCTCTTTCCTTCACACATTTTGGCTGGATTTTTTTTTTGTTTTTTTAACAGACATGCATTCAAAATGGAGGGTTATTAGCAATATTAAAACAATGAATTTCAAGAAGTCTACAATTTAATTTAGATCTGACATTGCTGAAAAGTAGCAAATCTCTCTAATAACTGAAGATTTAATTAAAAGGATGGTCCAAAAAAATTCTGAAGGCACATTTCCTTCATTGAGCTTCATGACCAAACATGTCTACAAGTGCTAACAGCCAAAAGGCAAAAGACAGAATTATGGACTTTGGGAAAGGGTTGATATTTAAACTGTTCATGAGCTGGTGAGCTTATGACAACAGCAAAAGAACTAGCCTACAGGATTCCATGACTAGTCAGGGCAAAGACTGATTCTTCATGAGATGGCAGTTCTACTTTGAATATTTGCAAGGATTAAGTTTAAAACATTGTGCTGAGATGCAGAATGCCTGAAAGCTGTATGTGTGCAGTACCTGGTAATAGTGTCAAGTTCCTTTAATAACCCTGTATTTAGGGCACTTGTATAGGCTTACTTCTGGTTGTTTGTGATGCGTTTTTCTCATTTTTAGATGAAAATGTTTGACAAACATGTCAACCAAAATGTTTAAGATGCTATAAATGTACTGACACCAATTAGATTTAGGCCTGTGCTTAAAAACTAAGTACAGTATAGTCCAGACCCAGTTAGTGAGGTGAGCCTAGGCTAAATCATGCTCCCCTTACTCTTTCAGATAATTCCAATTATACAAAGCATGTAAACACAAACTTAATCCCTATGTGGTACAGAATAACACTTATTTAACTGCTTAAACATGATCCAGTGCTTTGCTGAAGCGAGGCTGTAGACTTTGGAAATGGATGGGTTTTATGTTTTGATTTTGTTATTCCTTTAGCCTACTCTTGATTCTCTGTAATCTGGCGATATACCTGTTTTAAAACCTGACACTTATTTGAAGTCCAGAAATAGGTTTTCTTGAATTATCTCAAGGTTTGTCACCTCCATACCTTCACTGGAAGAACTATTCACTTCCCCGCTACCCCACTCCCAACATTGTTTGTTCTACTTTGGAACATCACTGATAGGAAGCTGTCACTATTTTTTGTCTTATAGGTTACCTCTTGCAAGTTGTCATTGGAACAACAGTGATCCCATCATGTGGACCAAATGACGTGGACAACTGTACCACAGCATTAAGTAAGTATGTGGTATCTTAACACTGCCTCTTCAAAACTATGGGCTTTTCTGTTGCAAAAATCTCGATCTCATGCTGATTCCCATTCTCAATGGGAGTTACAAGATGCTTAGCTTTTTCTCTGAGTCCTTCACTTGGGAAATTTCTGAAAATGTCTCATACTTTCTCAGACAAAATAAGCTAATTTTTAGGGCCTGAATGCTGTAGAGCATCAGGGTGTGTGGGGATCAAGCATCTTCTCTATACTACCTTTATTAAACTGGAAATGGTACTAAATAGTTATTCCACATGAAGTAATTTTATTATGCTGCAATATGCATTGAAGTAGGTTCTATTCAGAACTCCCCATGAGGAAACACCAAGGGTACATTTTTAGGATGGCAATTTCCAAGCAGCCTAAATGTTTCAAAGCCTAGAAATTCAAGGGAATTGGCTTTACTCTGACAAAAACTAAAGGTTCATTTTTGCAAACTTATTCCTCAGCACTATTCAGAGTTCATATAGATGACTGAAAGTTAAAAATAGTGAGTGGAAGAAAGACTAACAAACCAGTAACTGAATCTACTTACAGTTCAGACGGAGCATAGTCCACGGGTGGCTCAAGTGGCAATAACGCAATGCAAGCCTGAAATGAAAGACTTCTGTTTTCATGGACAGTGCATGTACCTTGTGGACTTGGATGAACACTATTGCAGGTGAGAGGAAAGTCATATAGTATCGTTTTGCATTTCTTCCTGAGGTCAAATGTACAAGTGAGATCATATGCATGAACTGGCTTTGATTTCACCTTTCACCTGCTTTTAGAATCTATGGTGCCAAAATGATTTTGGCACCAGTTTTTTAAAGCCTTGATGCAGAGGCAGCAGAGTCCTACTACCAGGAGTGGTAGATCTGCAAAGAGGATCTGATTCTACAAGCCTTTCCTGGCATGATGGCTCACGGTAGTATAAGCCAGGCCTAAAGTTTTTCTGCTAGCCTAGCTATATTGGTGAGAGGTACCAAAAAATCATTATCCCTCTAGCCAAGGTAAATCTGGATGTTGTCTACGAGGGCTTCTGTAAGTAGAGCACTTGTCTCAGAGGTGTTATAGTTAAACTGGGTGAAGCCCTTTCTGTCCTCATATGCTGGATCTTTGAAAGACATCGATCATGTTCCCACAGAATCTGCTACAGGGGGTTTATTTTAGAACTATGTTTGGTTCTAGTGATCAGAAATGGAAATGATCTAGGCTACCTGGTCTATCTTTGCTACTGCATGATTGTTCTTTATGATTGTTCCTTTTCTGGCACTTCCCTGTCAGGGCAGATGCTTTTAATATTTACCTGTGTTTTGTAACAGCACAATTAAGGTGTCAGCAATAACCCCAACTATCTCTGTCCTTTTCAGATGTGATGTGGGCTACTCTGGGGTCCGCTGTGTGCATTCGGAGCTAGTCACACAGCCTTTGAGCAAAGAATATGTGGCACTGACAGTTACTGTAATCCTGTTTTTACTCATTGCTATCTCAGTTGCAAGTTACTACTTCTACAGATGGTAAGGCACATTCTCATTTTCTATTGTATGCACTTGAACTATGACTCATTTTCTCCAAGCAGGGAGAGAGAAGCTTTCTCATATTAATGGCTGAATAGTTCATTCAGAAGTTAGATCAAAATGCTTATTTTTGGCTTGCTCACATGCTTGTTAGCCTGCATTTATCTAATGAACTTAAAAATGGTGGTTTAATTAAATTTGATGTGGCTACATAGTTGCAAATACAAAAGTAGCACAAATGTTTATCAGACCTTTTAGCATAAAGAATAACAATAGTCAGGCCAGTATATTAGTACCTTTGAGGCGTGTCTGCTCACCCAGAAGCGGAGAAATGCTAAAATGGAAACCATTTAAGGTCAGTTACAGAATCCTGTAGGTTTCTGCTCTGGTACATGAAGGGAAGCTGCCTGAGGAGATTAAGGGCTTGAAGGTGATATTGTACATACTGCATGTCCCACCACTTGGATATCGTTTGCCACAATGGAGTTACCTTGGCTTATACCCATGGCTTGGGGCTGGGGGGGGGGGGGAAGAAAAGATGAAGTTCTGCATAATGCATCCTAAAATTATATTAGTATTAAACATTATCCTTGTTGACTGTAAAGCATAGCCCTGTCCACAAGGCAGAGAGAAAGTGCCTCTGCACTCTTGCTTATGAAATGACCACCCTAGCTGGCTGATTTTTATTCTTCTAAAATCCAGCTTGCTGCCTGTAGCTAATGAAGTGGAGTAACTTGCTTGAAATACGTCCTCTTACCATCTAGACAAGGAGCATACCATGGAAGAAGCATAGGGTTACTGAAGTAGCAGTTCTATACAACTACCACTAAGGCCATTGGAGCCAATCTCTGTTACTTACCCCTTCACTGGATCTTGCTATGTGAGGAAGAAACCACATAAGCGTCCACTGTACATCTTGCTTAATCTTAAAGAAACTAAATGGAGCAAAACATAAACACAAACATTTTAAATGAAAGAAACTTGGATAATATCAAAGCAGAGGATGTTTTCAGTGTTTAATGCTAGTTGTCCAGAGGCTGCTTGCAGATGGCTAGCACTCTATGGGGTTTCGGAATAGCATCTGCTGAAATGGGGAGCTTTGCCCAGCCTCTTTTCAGATGAAGCTTCCATTATGTTCGTATGTGCTAGGACTGCTGTATAGTATTTTATTTTTGGAACAGTTCTGCATTTGTGTGTTTTGTACCTTCTCCTCCCTCTCTAGAGAGCTCTAACTTCTTTTTCTCTCTGAATACATTCAGGTACCAAAACAAGCAGAGACAAATCAACCTTGCATTCTCTATAGAAGCTGATGCACAGGAGAAGAAGTCAAAGCTGCTTCACGTATGAATGAAGAAACAGAAACACACAGACCAGCTACTTATTGATTTGTCTCTATTTAATATGAAAAATGTTATTTTTATTAATAATATTTATATGCTGAACAAACCAGTTTCAAATGTCTATTAATTTTAATTGATAATACAGGTCAAAATGGATTTTTGTATAAATGTTTTTATTTTTTTTTTTAATTTTATTGAATACTTGATACTATGGAAAAATAGATCCTACACTTGTGCATCTGTGGGATTATATATATATATATATAGAGAGAGAGAGAGAGAGAGAGAGAGAGATAACTATATTTTTGTAAGAAGCTTTTAATCTTGTTGCCGGTACTTTGTCTTAAAATGCATGTTTATTCATTTTCTTCACATGAACAAATAAAGTTGTGTTACTTTTTACAAAGACCTGCCTCAGTCAAGAAGATGTTAATACTGTGATCTTTTTTTTTTTTTCCTTTACTGAAAAGTGAATGACATGCAGTCTGTGTGGTTCATATGCAGACATATTTAAAATCTGACATAAACATATGGAAAATAGCTGGCCTTAAAAAAAAAAAAACAACCCTTATTCTCAGAGAGGCTTTGATTTACAGTCTTGAGGGTGTGGTAGAATTCTCATGTTTGCATTGTATCCTGATATAACTATTTGGGATCACATTAGCCAAAAAATACAAAGAGGAAAATATTGTGAACTTTTGTGATATCTCTTATTATGATATTTCAGGCACAATTTTGAGTCCAGGTTCTTACCCTGGAAGGGGAGTAAGGATTTACAATAAGCTGCCTCACTTCCTTTTGCAGGCTCTTTGTATCATAGTCTACATGGGTGCATTCACACATGCACTTGCAGCTGCACAAATTTGGTGCTGGATATTTGTGTCTCGGCACACGTGCCTAAACATACACTTTGGTTTGGAGCAAGTTGTGTCACTTGGGGCAAACTGACCCTGCCCACCTCCTCCCAGATCTGCAGCCAGGGGGAGCTGAAGGCTGGGGCCAGCACCCGTGTTGGCCCCAGTACAATAAATCATAGAGGTGCACTGACACATCGGTTCAATATTGGATTGGCACTGATATAAAGAAAATTGTATCGGAAATCGGTGAAGAGCACAGCTTGGAGAGCTGTGTCCAGATGGTAAGTCTGTGGGGGAAGGGGAGGGGGGGAAGATCAAGGCCCCCACAGTGAGGGAAGGAGTGGAGCTAGGGCAGGGGCTGTGATAGGCACTGCCCAGCTGGGGCCGGGAAAGGGATGGAGCCACAGCTCATCGAGGAGTGTGTGGGGAACAGCTCCTGCTGCATGCAGCCTGGAAGGGTAAGTGAAAGAGCATGTGCCCCTGGATCTGCACAGTGTCACAACCCAAAGTTGTGGATTTTTTAATTGTGTGTGCTTTGGCACCGCTAAATTATGTTCCCGCTGAATTGGAGCTCTTTTGCACGACGGAGTGTTCTGTTGTTATGGAGAACCCGCGTGCACAAAAGTGTTTCCCGCTGTTCTGTAGCCTTCTTTGCATTGTGCATTACTTTTGCATTTAGTGATGCACGCTGCAAAGGAGTTTTCCTGTCATTTGTATTGAGATTTGAGCCACATTATTGGCCGGTCTTAATTTAGGCACACGTGGCGGCTAGCTATTGGCTTGCTAGCCGTACAAAAGGCTTGGGTGGTTTCCGCCCAAGTTGGAGAGAAAGATGGAGAGAGACGGAGAGACGGATCTCTAAGCGCTGTGGGTCCTTTTGAACCCAGCGCATCTTTCTTAAGAAGGCGATAGAGGCTCCAATTGCCGAACCCCCTGAGCCTAGCAAACTCTGGGACACCACTTACCGACGGCCTCTAGCCTCTCCCCATCACCGATCGCAGCCCAGACGAATCCCTACCCTAGAACCCAGTTATCGAAACCACGGAGTCTAAACCACTCCGAGGATCCTGGGAACCGAGTAACACTCACGGAGATACAGCTGCTCCGTGGGAACGAATTCTTGAACCCCGCGGAGCCTGATTCACTCCGGGGTCAAGGAACCGAGTTTATTAGAGTCCTCCACCGAGAACTCAAGCGGAGCTGAGCCTGAAAAGCTGACCAGCCTACACCGTGACCATCTCCGGTGTAAGTAAATAATCTTTTCAATCAACCATTACGCCTCCGTGACTGATTCTAGGTCAAGCGTACTACTCCACCCCGTGACTTTTCTCCGGCCCCGCGTGCCCGGGCTGCTGGGCTGGGGCCAGGACTGCACCAGGCTCTTCCCAACGGGATCTGGGCCAAGCTGCAGTGCTGGGAGGAGGGGTTGGGGTGGCTACAGCAAACTTTGAGGTGACTGCAGCTCCCACTCCCTATAGCCCCACTCCCAGTGCTACCGCTGCCCACCCAAGCACAGCCTGGCCCAGCCCCCACTGGGAAAAGCCCAATACCACCCCAGCCCGTACCTGCAGCCCACCCAGAGCATGCCCCACCCCCTGTGCCCTCCTGGGGTGTGTGCAGCAGCGTGAGCCACACCCCCACACCTCCAAGATGAGCCACAGCTGTGTCCTGTGCCCTGCCTCTCCCCAGTTGGGCAATGCTTGCCCCAGCCCCACTTCCTCCCTCATCACAGGGCCCTCAGTCTGCCCTACCCCACAACAGACTTACCAGCTACATGCAGCTTTTCAAGCTGCTGGGCTGCATATCAGAAATTGGATCGGTATCGGGGGATATGTCTCCTTAAAAAATCAGCTATCAGTATCAGCGCCCAAAGTTGTCTTGGTGAGCAGCTCAGGGCTACCTGCCCTCAGGAGCTTCTCAGGCCTGGCCAGTTGGTATGTGGGGACCCTAAGCCCCTGTGCCAGCTGGGCTGCTGCTGCAGCAGCCCTGACCTAGCATGGCCCCTGCACCCGCTACCTACTGCAGCAGGGGCTGCTGTCTGGCTGTGATCTGCTGCCACCTGTGACAGTATCCACCTCTTTAGACATCTCTGGCGTAGGCACTGCAGCAGAGCTGTCTGCACCTCTGGGCCAGCTCTTCAGGCTGCACAGTTGGTCTTTGGGCAGCCTTGCTGCCATGTGTGCCTCCACCCTGCCATCTGGGCAGTTATCACCTGGAAGATGTGCTCAGTGTGGTGGCCTGCTTTGAACTATCACAGTGTGTCCTCCTGGCCCCAAATGGGTCTTAAACTGCTTTGAGATCCCAGCATCGCAGTGTTCACAAGCCATGCCTCCAACCTCAAGGTATGTAAAAAATCCTTTTAAAGCTGTGTCTGTGTCTGAATGGCTGATTCTCTAAATCAGCATCAATCTTCAGTTTCGGATTCAGCCGAATTGAATCAGGGACAGTGATCCAAATGAATCGAATGAATGGAATCACTGTCTGTGATTCAGGCCGAATTGGGCCTGCTTCACACACCCCTAATAGTGGGCATGTCTACACATTAATTAATGCACAGCATTTAGTTTAGTACTTCCTTAATGTAGTACTAACTGAATGCACAGTAACTATTTTTGCTGCACAGTAGCGCTGGTGCATTATTTTTTGTGAGGTTTACTGTACAGTGGCCTAATAACACGGTGTAGTAGCCTATTAAAAATTTTTTTGACTGGCACGCTACTTCATAGTGTTATTAGGCTACCATGCAGTATGCATCTTGTGTAGACACACTGGGCATGTCTACACATTCATTAATGTGCCGTAATGACTGCATTGAGCTTAGTACCTGTAATAACAGGTACTAAATGCACTAATCAGTGCTACTGTGCATTAGGGCTGTGCGAAGCTTTGGTAGCTGATTTGATTTGGAGGAGATTTGGCCCGATTTGGTGGCCAAATCTCTAAATCCAAATAGAATCAGGAGACCCGTTTAAAGGTCCGAATCAATTTGGAAGCCTCCACTCGCCTGCCATGACTTTCATAGACTCGATCTTCTTTTCTTCAGTGGTAGGGCTCCTCCTCGCGGATTCTCGGAGGCCAGGTACTGCCCTTAGCGGGCCTTATTGAGGCTTCACATCCCCTACACCCCAGCCATGCCCCAGCCCTCAAGACAGCTGGATGATGGGTCACCAGCCTGTCCCTTTGATGTTCACGCCTGGTCTCTTCTCTCCTTGCCCATCCCTCAGCGCCCCTTTATCCTGGATGACTGTGGGGCATGGGACCATCCTCATCACTGGGTCTGCTCTCCCTGAGGCCTAGTGGACCTCTTGACCTGGGGTCACTTGGAGATTCCTTCCCCAATCCGGGCTCTGTGTGCCCTCTGAAATAACAGATAAAAGAAAAGAGAAGCAAGGAATAGTTGGTATGGGGCCTCAGCCCACCCCACTCATGCATCCAGCATCTGTGGCCCTTGTGATACTTCGGCGCCATCCTCCTTGGCCCGGCTGCCCTCCTGAGCTGGGTGGATACTTCTTTTAATGGAGCCAGGACCCCTCCTGTGGGTCCCCCTCTAGCTCCCTGCCGAGCTGCCAACACCACCGATGTGTAGCCCGGGGAGAAGCTTCACCTTCTGGCTCCAGCGTTGCTGCCCCCACTTTCATTTCCCCACCGCCAGCTTTTAAATCAGCTGGGTGGCAGTTTTTGATGACATCATCTGCCGGCGCCATTCCCAGATGACAATAAAAGTGGCTGATGAACTGTGCCAGTGGTCCTTGTAACAGAGTCACGGCTGCAACTCTGTTACTAAAGAAGGACGACAGCTGACGATGATTACCATGGCAGGGCCACACACAAGAGAGCCAATGAGACTCTGAAAGGATGAATAAGAAGGTGAGGAAGTCGGAAGGAAGTTGCCTTCGGGCACCTCTACACTGAGAGAGAAGTGGGCGAGGAGCCTGGAGACCGAGGACCCGTGGGAAGGTCAAAAGATCGGGACTCACCCGCAGACGGCAAACAGTGGATTGGCGTCCTTTGAGTTATGGTCAGCCCAAATAAACAACTGTTGTGGTGAGTCCCGGGGAAACAGAGTGGCGACGTGGTGAAAGCCGCGGCTCCGAGTCAGGGGGCAGCAGGACTTCTCGGGAGAGAAGGGTGTGGGGAAGGAACTCCCTATCCTGTCCAGGAAAAGCGGGAACCCGATCCCTCATCCTGAGAGAGAGAGAGAAAGGAAAAGGGAAAAAAGAAAAGAAAAGGGAGAACAAACAAAGAACCGCAATACACAAGCCGACACAGAACGATGCCGGGGAAGTCCGGTATCGGCGTTAATCAGCCGCTAGTGGGGCAATTAGCAGCTGATCACTGAAACCGCCTCTGATATTTGACAGCTGAGCCAGATCATCCGTGCTCCAGATAAGTCCCTGGGCGGGATCTGGCAACTGCTCTTTTTCATTTTCAAACTCGTGCTCCCAGAGAGAGAGAGGGGAGAACCCATTAAGAGTAATAAAGCACCTAAATCAGAATTCGAGCATGCATGGTCATTAGCGTGGGTACCTGCAGTACTAACACCACCTCC